CCCATGAGTCACGGTGAAGGTGTGACATCACGAGAGACGCCGACGTCACGGGCGGCACTGAACAAACCAAACCGTTTATTTATGTTTGTGATCTGGTTTACAGAACCGGATCACAATTTACAGAAAAAACACAACTCAGACCTGAGACCTGGTTCAGTCCTGGTTCAGTCCTGGTCCTGGTGTAGTCCTGGTGTAGTCCTGGTGTAGTCCTGGTTCAGTCCTGGTTCAGTCCTGGTTCAGTCCTGGTTCAGTCCTGGTTCAGTCCTGGTGTAGTCCTGGTTCAGTCCTGGTTCAGTCCTGGTGTAGTCCTGGTGTAGTCCTGGTTCAGTCCTGGTTCAGTCCTGGTTCAGTCCTGGTTCAGTCCTGGTTTAGTCCTGGTGTAGTCCTGGTTAGTCCTGGTGTAGTCCTGGTGTAGTCCTGGTTCAGTTCTGGTTTAGTCCTGGTTCAGTCCTGGTTCAGTCCTGGTTTAGTCCTGGTTCAGTCCTGGTTCAGTCCTGGTCAGTCCTGGTGTAGTCCTGGTTCAGTCCTGGTTCAGTCCTGGTTCAGTCCTGGTGTAGTCCTGGTTCAGTCCTGGTGTAGTCCTGGTGTAGTCCTGGTGTAGTCCTGGTTCTGTTAGTCCTGGTGTAGTCCTGGTTTAGTCCTGGTTCAGTCCTGGTTCAGTCCTGGTTCAGTCCTGGTTCAGTTCTGGTTTAGTCATGTTTTGTTCTGACTCATTCGGTTCATCTGCTGTTTTTGTTTTCACAGTGAAGCATGATGGGAAACTGAGTCTCGATGGACCAAGAAATCTCCCTCCTCTCACTGGTACGACAGGTGCCCTCCCCCCGTGTGTGACAGGTGCCCTCCCCCCGTGTGTGACACCGTGTGTGACAGGTGCCCTCCCCCCGTGTGTGTGACAGGTGCCCTCCCCCCGTGTGTGACAGGTGCCCTCAGGTCCCCCCGTGTGTGTCGTGTGTCAGTGTGTGTCAGGTGCCCCCAGTGTCTCCCCCCGTGTGTGTGTGTCAGTGTGTGTCATCGTGTGTCGTGTGTCAGGTCCCTCCCGTGTGTCAGTGTGTGTCAGGTCCCTCTCCGTGTGTCAGTGTGTGTCAGGTCCCTCTCGTGTGTCAGTGTGTGTCAGTGTGTGTCAGGTCCCTCTCGTGTGTCAGTGTGTGTCAGGTCCCTCTCGTGTGTCAGTGTGTGTCAGGTCCCTCTCGTGTGTCAGTGTGTGTCAGGTCCCTCTCGTGTGTCAGTGTGTGTCAGGTCCCTCCCGTGTCTTGAATAAAAAGTGCAGAGGGACAGAGCACAGATTCTCCTGAAAGAACAAACGCTTCATTCAGAGAAACGAGAGAAACGAGAGACCAGCATGAGAAACAGAAGAGAGAATGGTGGTTCAGTGGTGTAGGAGAGAAAGGTTTCAGGTGGTGAGGAGGAGAAACAGGTGGTGAAGAGGTGGTGAGGTGGTGAGGTTCAGGTGGTGAAGGTTCAGGTGGTGAGTTCAGGTGGTGAAGGTTCAGGTGGTGAGGTTCAGGTGGTGAGGTTCAGGTGGTGTAGTTCAGGTGGTGAGGTTCAGTGACAGGTGGTGAAGGTTCAGGTGGTGAAGGTTCAGGTGGTAGGTTCAGTGGTGAAGGTTCAGGTGTTCAGTGGTGAAGGTTCAGGTGGTGTAGGTTCAGGTGGTGAGGTTCAGGTGTAGGTTCAGGTGGTGAAGGTTCAGGTGGTGTAGGTTCAGGTGGTGTAGGTTCAGGTGGTGGTTCAGGTGTGTAGGTTCAGGTTCAGGTGGGGCGGGTTCAGGGGTCAGGTTCAGGTGGGGTTCAGGGGTTCAGGTGGGGGTTCAGGTTCAGGTGGGGCGGGTTCAGGTGGGGCGGGTTCAGGTGGTGCGGGTTCAGTGGGGCGGGTTCAGGTGGGGCGGGTTCAGGTGGGGCGGGTTCAGGTGTAGTTGTAGTTGTAGGTGGTGTTGGTGACCTGTTCCTGATGACGTTGTTTCTCCGCTTGCGGCGCAGAGGAAGTTGGCGGCGGAGCCTCAGTACTCGGACGTGACGCTGCCGCCGGTGGAGCGGGTTCGCGCTCTGGGCAGGATGGGGCGGGGCGTCCAGGTGGAGGCGGAGCTTTCTCCTCACCTGTACCTGCGCTGGGGGCGGGACATGGAGCGCATGGCCTCGGTCTACCACCAGGAGGAGCAGCTGGAGAACGCCTACGTGCTCTACAACAAGTTCATCACGTAAGACGCCCCCCGACCGCAGGCTCACCGGACCGGGACCCACCCAGACCAGGTCTAGACCGGACCGGGACCCACCCAGACCAGGTCTAGACCGGACCGGGACCCAACCGGACCCACAGGCCGGGACCAACCCAGACCCACAGACCAGGACCAGACCAGGTCTAGACCAGACCAGGACCCACCCAGACCCACAGACCAGGACCAGACCAGGACCCACCCAGACTGGGTCTAGACCGGGAAAGGACCCACAGTCTAGACCGGCGCTAGACCAGGTTTAGACCAGGCCAGGATCCACTCAGACCCACGGTCAAGACCCATGAGCTAGACCGGGTTTAGTCCTGGTTTAGTCCTGGTTTAGTCCTGGTTTAGTCCTGGTTTAGACCTGGTTTAGTCCTGGTTTAGTCCTGGTTTTGTCCTGGTTTAGACCTGGTTTAGTCGTGTTGGTTTTATGTTGGTCATTCATTATAATATCTCACGTGGTCTCATTAGCATATTCATGAGCTCATTTGCATATGTAAATCCAGTGACTCGTTTGTTTTCAGTTTGTTCGTGGAGAAACTTCCTCTGCACCGAGATTATCACGAGTGCAGCTCCAGCCCCGAGAAGGTCTACATCATGAAGGTACGGCCAATCAGGAGAGAGTACGCACACGCAGCAGCCAATCAGGAGAGAGCACCCACACACACACGCACCGGCCAATCAGGAGAGAGAGCACGCACACACACCGGCCAATCAGAGTGTCAGATGTAAACTCTCGTTTCGTTTTTTTGTCAGAAACTTCAGGAGGTGGCGTTTCCTCGACGAGACGAACTCAAGAAAAAACTGGAGGAAAAATACAACAAAGAATATTCAGACTACCTCAACAAGGTACTACTACTACTACTACTACTACTACTACTGCGAATACTACTTAAATAAAGGTTAAATTAATAAAAAGTTTAACATTCTAAATCCTCTCTGTCTGTGTCATGTGACTCGTCAGAGCCAATCAGCAGCGGAGGGGCATGACGAGCAGCAGCAGCGAGCCTCCCCATTGGCCGCTGACCCCGGCTCGCTCCTATTGGCCGAGGGCTCGATGGGGCGGGGCCAGTGGCTGGAGCAGGAGCGGCGGCGCGTCGATGACATCAGGAGGCGCCAGATCGAATCGGAGCAGTTCATTCGTTTCGAAGAACAATTGAGGAGGCAGGAGCGGGCCAATCAGAGAGAGGAAGGGGCGGGGCCACAGGAGCCGGCCAATCACAGGGAAGAACAACAGGTACACGGTCTAAAATGTGGCGTTACACACTGTGACATGACACATTGGCCGTCACAGTGTGTGGAATCACAGTGTGTAGCATCACAATGTGTACGTGTCCCAGTGTGTGTGTCCCAGTGTGTGTGTCACCCTGGGCCCGTGTCACCCTGGGCCCGTGTCACCCTGGGCCCGTCACCCTGGGCTCGGGGTTGATCTGTGGGTTTGGTTCTGACGTCCACTCGCTGCGTTGTCGTATTTTTCCTCCAGGTGGCGCTCAGAGACTCAGATGTGACGGACGGCTCCTGTCTGTCCCAGCAGCCAATCAGAGCCAGCGAACAGCCAGAGGGGGCGGGGCTTAACAGGACCAGAGCAGCTCCTGTCCAATCAGCTGCTGTCCTCGCTGCGGTTCACTGTGAGTCCTGGTTTAGTCCTTGTTAAGTCCTGGTCTGGTCCTGGTCTGGTCTTGGTCTGGTCCTGGTCTGGTCCTGGTCTGGTCCTGGTCTGGTCCTGGTCTGGTCTTGGTCTGGTCTGGTCCTGGTCTGGTCTTGGTCTTGGTCTGGTCCTGGTCTGGTCCTGGTCTGGTCTTGGTTTGGTCTTGGTTCGGTCCTGTTCTGATGTGGGTGCGTTTGTTTTCAGCTCTGGACGGGTTGAGGCGGGTGGTGCTTCCCAGAGATTTGTCATTGAGGTTTCTGCGTTTGGCTGAGTCCAACACGAACCGCGGTCTGGAGACGTGCGGCGTGCTCTGCGGACGCCTGGTGAGACCACGCCCACTCACACACCTGTGTGTGTATGCGTGTGTGTGTATATTTGTGTCTGTGTGTGTGTGTATATTTGTGTGTGTGTGTGTCTGTTTGTGTGTGTGTATATTTTTGTGTGGGTGTGTCTGTGCGTGCGTGTTTGTGTGTGTGTGTCTGTGTGTGTGTGTGTGTGTATATGTGGGTGTCTGTGTGTGTGTGTGTGTGTGTGTGTATGTGTGTGTGTGTGTCTGTGTGTGTGTGTGTGTGTCTGTGTGTGTGTGTGTGTCTGTGTGTGTGTGTGTGTGTGTGTGTGTGTGTGTGTGTGTGTGTGTGTGTGTGTGTGTGTGTGTGTGTGTGTGTGGTGTCTGTGTGTATATGTGTGTGTGTGTGTGTGTGTGTGTGTGGGAGGGCATCTGATGTTTGTGTTTGTGTTTCAGTGTCGTGAGGAGCTTCTCGTTTCTCATGTCGTCGTCCCAAAACAAACGTCAGGTCCAGATTTCTGTGACATGGAGAACGTGGAGGAACTGTTCTGCTTCCAGGACCAACAGAACCTCCTGACGCTGGGCTGGATCCATGTACGGGAGGCACCTGACGCACCTGACGCACCTGACGCACCTGACGCACCTGACACACCTGACACACACAGGGGAGGCACCTGACGCACCTGACGCACCTGACACACACGGGGATGGCACCTGACACACACGGGGGCGGCACCTGACACACACGGGGACGGCACCTGACACACAAGGGGACGGCACCTGACACACACGGGGACGGCACCTGACGCACCTGATTCACCTGACGCATCTTACACACCTGACACACAGGGAGGGCACCTGACGCACCTGACACACACGGGGAGGGCACCTGACACACACGGGGAGGGCACCTGACACACACACGGGGAGGGCACCTGACACACACACGGGAGGGCACCTGACACACACACGGGAGGGCACCTGACACACACACGGGGAGGGCACCTGACACACACGGGGAGGGCACCTGACACACACACGGGGAGGGCACCTGACACACACACGGGGGGCACCTGACACACACACGGGGAGGGCACCTGACACACGGGGAGGGCACCTGACACACACACGGGGACACCTGACACACGGGGAGGGCACCTGACACACGGGGAGGGCACCTGACACACGGGGAGGGCACCTGACACACGGGGAGGGCACCTGACACACGGGGAGGGCACCTGACACACGGGGAGGGCACCTGACACACAGGGAGGGCAGCTGACGCACCTGACACACACACGGGGAGGGCACCTGACACACTGGAGGATGTTGTTTTTATTTTTCGTCCGTTTCCCTCCCACTCACCACTTCACACTTTCACTGAGTCACGTCTCCATGGCGACCGGAGATACGGTCTCCACGGCAACGGGACAAAGAGGGAACTGTGAGAGAGAGAGAGAGCGAGAGGACTCACTCTGAGCACAAACACACATGGGTCCTGGTCCAGTCCTGGTCCAGTCCTGGTTCAGTCCTGGTCCAGTCCTGGTCCAGTCCTGGTTCAGTCCTGGTTCAGTCCTGGTTCAGTCCTGGTTCAGTCCTGGTCCAGTCCTGGTCCAGTCCTGGTCCAGTCCTGGTTCAGTCCTGGTCCAGTCCTGGTTCAGTCCTGGTCTCTGTTTCAGACTCATCCCACTCAGACGGCGTTCCTCTCGTCTGTAGATCTTCACACTCACTGCTCGTTTCAGCTCATGCTCCCGGAGGCCATCGCCGTGGTGTGTGCGCCCCGACACCAAGAGTGAGTACCCCCGCAGAGTACCCCGCAGAGTACCCCGCAGAGTACCCCGCAGAGTACCCCGCAGAGTACCCCGGCAGAGTACCCCGGCAGAGTACCCCGGCAGAGTACCCCGGCAGAGTACCGCGAACACTACCCAACAGAGTACCCCAAAATTCCTCTGTTCCCTTTGTCATAGTAAAAGTACTTGTGTTGTGTATTTGTCGTAGTAAAAGTACTTGTGTTGTGTATTTGTCGTAGTAAAAGTACTTGTGTTGTGTATTTGTCGTAGTAAAAGTACTTGTGTTGTGTATTTGTCGTAGTAAAAGTACTTGTGTTGTGTATTTGTCGTAGTAAAAGTACTTGTGTTGTGTATTTGTCGTAGTAAAAGTACTTGTGTTGTGTATTTGTCATAGTAAAAGTACTTGTGTTGTGTATTTGTCGTAGTTGTGGCGTCTTCAGACTCACTGGTCCTGGGATCTCTGAAGTTTCTCGATGTCGACTCAAAGGGTTCCACCCCCACTCCAGAGACCCGCCCCTTTTCTCAGTGAGTACCGCCCCTAACCCCGCCCCCTCATCAATAACCCCCCCCCTCGTCATATAACCCCGGCCACTCACCCCTAACCCCGCCTACTCAACCCCATGTGTTTCACTCTCAGGTGTGTGTAAATGTGTTTCACTCTCAGGTGTGTGTAAATGTGTTCACTTCAGGTGTGTGTAATGTGTTTTCACTCTCAGGTGTGTGTAAATGTGTTTCACTCTCGGGTGTGTGTAAATGTGTGTTCCCTCGGTGTGTGTAAATGTGTTTCACTCTCAGGTGTGTGTAAATGTGTTTCCTCTCGGTGTGTGTAAATGTGTTTCACCTCAGGTGTGTGTAAATGTGTTTCACTCTCAGTGTCTGTGTAAATGTGTTTCTCTCTCAGTGTGTGTAAATGTGTTTCACTCTCAGGTGTGTGTAATGTGTTTCACTCTCACTCTCAGGTGTGTGTAAATGTGTTTCACTCTCAGGTGTGTGTAAATGTGTTTCACTCTCAGGTGTGTGTAAATGTGTTTCACTCTCACTCTCGGGTGTGTGTAAATGTGTTTCTCTCTCGGTGTGTGTAATGTGTTTCTCTCTCAGGTGTGTGTAAATGTGTTCACTCTCAGGTGTGTGTAAATGTGTTTCACTTCAGGTGTGTGTAAATGTGTTTCTCTCTCAGGTGTGTGTAAATGTGTTTCTCTCTCGGGTGTGTGTAATGTGTTCTCTCTCGGGTGTGTGTAAATGTGTTTCTCTCTCGGGTGTGTGTAAATGTTTCTCTCTCGGTGTGTGTAAATGTGTTTCTTCTCGGTGTGTGTAAATGTGTTTCACTCTCAGGTGTGTGTAAATGTGTTTCACTCTCAGGTGTGTGTAAATGTGTTCTCGTGTGTGTAAATGTGTTTCTCTCAGGTGTGTGTAAATGTTTTCTCTCTCGGTGTGTGTAAATGTGTTTCACTCTCAGGTGTGTGTAAATGTGTTTCTCTCTCAGGTGTGTGTAAATGTGTTTCACTCTCAGGTGTGTGTAAATGTGTTTCTCTCTCAGGTGTGTGTAAATGTGTTTCTCTCTCGGGTGTGTGTAAATGTGTTTCTCTCTCAGGTGTGTGTAAATGTGTTTCTCTCTCAGGTGTGTGTAAATGTGTTTCACTCTCAGGTGTGTGTAAATGTGTTTCACTCTCAGGTGTGTGTAAATGTGTTTCTCTCTCAGGTGTGTGTAAATGTGTTTTCTCTTTCATGTGTAAATGTGTTTCTCTCTCAGGTGTGTGTAAATGTGTTTCTCTCTCAGGTGTGTGTAAATGTGTGTGTGTGTTTCTCTCTCAGGTGTGTGTAAATGTGTTTCTCTCTCAGGTGTGTGTAAATGTGTTTCTCTCTCAGGTGTGTGTAAATGTGTTTCTCTCTCAGGTGTGTGTAAATGTGTTTCTCTCTCAGGTGTGTAAACACGTGCTGTTGAGGGATTGTGCAGTGACGCTGTTGGACCTCAGGTGACACACAGGGGGCGCTCTTTGCTCCACTGAGCCGCCTCCTCCTCCTCCTCTTCACCCGGATCTCACCTGGACCAGACCTGGACTCAGACTTAATTTATTTAATCCTGTTTTAGTCCTGTTTTAGTCTTGTTTTAGTCCTGGTTTAGTCCTGGTCTGGGCGTCCTGCCCGTGGGGAACAGCAGGTGGCGCTGTGTGTTACTTGAGCTTTGTCTTTGTTTAAATTTGAATTTGTGATTTTGTGAAATTGACACGTGTCATTTTTAATAAACGTTTTTGTGATTTCAGTTTTTTCTTGGATTTTTCTTTCACAAACTTGAGGGACTAAAGAGACCAGGACGTACCGCTCCAGAACACGACACGACTGTCATGATGAAACTGATAAAGACCTGGTTCAGTCCTGGTTTAGTCCTGGTTTCAGTCCTGGTTTAGTCCTGGTTTAGTCCTGGTTTAGTCCTGGTTTAGTCCTGGTTCAGTCCTGGTTTAATTCACACACGACACACGAGTCAAGTCCAGATTTTTTTTAATTTCCAATTTAAATGAATCACATTTTTTTCTCATTAAAGTAAAAATATTAAAATGATAACGAGAGATTCCTCTGAATGTTTTTATGAATTACACTTTACACGTTTTCATGTTTTAACACTGTTCAGAGCTCACGTCACACGTCACACGTCACACGTCACATGTCACACGTCTCACGTCACACTTCACACTTTGGTCTCAGGCAAAAGAAAAGTTTCACTGAATTAAAATAAAAATTGGAATCAAAATGTGATATGAAAAGTTGACAAAATTTTTCTCTTTAAGATCATTAAAATCATCTTTGTTTTGGAATTGGAAGTTTTGATAAGTTTTAATTTAGTTTCAAATTTCAAATAAAAGTGAGATTTAAACGTGGGCTGATGTTAAACTCCGCCCCGTTTCTCCCACAGACTTTTCCAAAAACACAAATCTAACAAAGGTTTTAAAACTCAGCTGTTTATAAAGTTTCTTCAGCAGATTCGAAATAAATAAAAATACGCCGGTGATTTTGAACTTTCAGAGACTTTTTTATTTTTCATAAAGTCTGTGGGAAACACGAGCAGGACGTTCACTTCAGACGTTCTCCACAGGAAACTCGGAACATTCTAAACTCCAAAAGGAAGTTCTTAAAAAGTGACAAACCCCAGAGTCAAAACTGTAAACTCTGAGACCAAAATATTCACAGTTTAAGGAAAATAAAACAAACATTTCTTTAAAATAAAAACACTTTCAAAGAGTAAACAGGAAACAGAATTATCAATTACAGAATTTGAGCCAATCACAGGCTGCACACATCCTTCAAAATAAAAGACTATTGAAAATATTCTGTGAAATTTGGGTCCAATGAAAGCACCACCGACCCGACCCGACTGGACCCGACTGGACCCGACCTGACTGAAAACCATCAAACTCAAACCTGAAACCTCAGACCTCAGATTATTTTATAAACAAAGTTGAATTTCTCACTTTTAATTTTGAAAAAAGCTATTTGAATTATTTTTATTCTCAATTTTTGTTGATGAAATTTTATGTGAAAATTTTCAAAGTGTTTAAAATTCAATAAAATAAATAAATAAAATCACCTTTTAAATATTCAGCATAAATATTTCCAAGCCTCAAATTCAACCGTCAAAATTCAGAGTGAAAAAAAATCTGAATTTGAGGGTTTGGAAATATTTGTGCTGAATATTTAAAAGGTCATTTTCTTTTATTTTGAATTTGAATTTTGAGCACTAATTGAAAAAAAAAATACTTAAAATTTCAGCAGTTAAAATTCAGAATAAAAATATTTCAAACCTATTTTTTTGTTTTTCAGAGTTAAAAAATTCAAAGTGAGAAATTCAGCGAGATTTAAAATTCAAAATGTGATGGAACAGATTGTGGACCCGAACACGACCTGATTTCACTGGAAAAAACGGGATTCACTTCTGAACGTCACAAATGATGAAAAATCTAGGGAAATTTGGAAAATGAAAACGTCTCGGACACAAAAGTGACGGAGCGACGCCGGTTTAAAAACATTTACAGTTTTGTTTTATGTGATTTGTTCCTTTTAAAAAGAGAAAAATCATTTTTTAAAAACTCAACGGTTTGAACAAAGGAAAAGAAAAAACAAACAAACAGCTCAACACGAGTCTGAGGTTAGAAAACTGGGCACATTAGAGGTCAGAGGAGGGTCAGAGGTCACAGTCAGAGGTCACAGGAGGGTCACAGGAGGATCAGAGGTCACAGACAGGGGTCAGAGGTCACAGGAGGGTCAGAGGTCACAGGAGGAGGTCAGAGGTCACAGGAGGAGGAGTCAGAGGTCACAGGAGGAGGTCAGAGGTCACAGGTAGAGGGGTCAGAGGTCACAGGTAGAGGGGGTCAGAGGTCACAGGTAGAGGGGTCAGAGGTCACAGGAGGAGGTCAGGGGTCACAGCTGGAGGGGTCAGAGGTCAGAGGAGGAGGTCAGGGGTCAGAGGTCACAGGAGGGTCGCCGGGCGCAGAGTGAAGGCGGTGTATCCGTCGTAGGAGGCGTAGGTCAGGTCTTGACTCAGGGTCGGTTTAAGAGACGCCAACGAAGCCGCCGCCGCCGCCAGAGGGTACGCCGCCAGACCTGAGACGCACGGAGACACACGAGGACACAAGGAGACACACACGAGGACACAAGGAGACACACACGAGGACACAAGGAGACACACGGAGACACACGAGGACACAGAGACACACGAAAACTCTGAGTGTCTTTTAACATCATTGTGAGACAGAAGAGTCCAGCTCCAGATGAGGCTCATGGATGTCGGCAGATACAACAACAGAGAGCCAATCAGGAGCCAGGACAGTGAACAGTCACACTTTTTATGTTCAGATCCTGAACATGAGCGGGTCAAAGGTCAGAGGTCAGAGTGAGGAGCCTGACCATGGATCTATTAAAATAACAGGACACAGTGTTGCTGCTTGTTTCTGCCTCCAGTTGACGTAGAGACTCTCACTGGTTTTACAGCGGAAAAAGTCTCCTGGGCCGAGAAGATTTTACTCGTAGAGCACGATGTAACCACAAAATCACAAACTGCTCGTGTTCGTCTGACAGGGACCTACAACTTTCAAACATGTTGGATTTTGTGGTGATTTTTACCTATTTTTAGATCATACACTTTTTCTCAGCTCAAAATCCTTCTTTTGTCTTAAAAAACTCTTTATAATCGTTCGCTCTGCTCCTCTCACTCTGATTGGTCAAAATGATCACGTGATACACGAGTCCACGCTCCGTGCGTGCGTCTGCGTGCGCCCGCGGGAGAAAAGACTCTACTGCACATGCTCGGTCGGCCCACAGACACCGGAAGAACCTCGCCGGGCTAAAGGCGAATCTGGGATCATGAAACATTGAGCTCGGCCCGTTGACTTGAATGGGCGGCCATTTTGGAACCTGGGGGCTTGAGCCTGACAGCAGCAGGTGCAGAGGGCGGGGTCAAAGGTCATAGAGAAGGGTCACGAATCAACACACAAACTGAACTGGAGCCAGAGTCCATGGAGCCCAAACACGACCATGAACACTTCCTGTGTGAACGAGGCGTCAGTGAGTCACACACGTCCACAGACACGTCCAGGAGACAGAGGAGAGTGTCAGGTGAGACAGGTGAGACAGGTGAGACAGGTGAGACAGGTGAGACAGGTGAGTGTCAGGTGAGACAGGTGAGAGAGGTGAGACAGGTGAGTGTCAGGTGAGTCAGGTGAGACAGGTGAGACAGGTGAGACAGGTGAGACAGGTGAGACAGGTGAGACAGGTGAGTGTCAGGTGAGAGTGTCAGGTGCAGTAAACTAAAGGTTCAGTGCTGGTTTAGACCTGATTTAGTCCTGGTTCAGTCCTGGTTTAGTCCTGGTTTAGTCCTGGTTTAGTCCTGGTTTAGTCCTGGTTTAGTTCTGGTTAGTCCTGGTTTAGTCCTGGTTTAGTCCTGGTTTAGTTCTGGTTTGTGGAGTTGATCTCAAACCAAAACTGAGGAGGAGAAACATCTGACGAGACGTTTGGAGACGTTTTTGTGTTTTGTGTCACGTTTGGGTTTGTGGGCGGAGTCAGTCTGTGTCCCTCCTGTCACTGCTCCTGTCACTGCACCTGTCACTGCTCCTGTCACTACACCTGTCACTGCTCCTGTCACTACCCCTGTCACTGGTCCTGTCACTGCACCTGTCACTACACCTGTCACTGCTCCTGTCACTACCCCTGTCACTGCACCTGTCATATACACCTGTCACTGCTCCTGTCACTACCCCTGTCACTACACCTGTCACTGCACCTAACACTACACCTGTCACTGCTCCTGTCACTGCTCCTGTCACTACACCTGTCACTGCTTCGTCACTGCTCCTGTCACTGCTCCTGTCACTGCACTGTCACTACCTGTCACTGCTCACCTGTCACTGCTGTCCTGCACCTGTCACTACCCCTGTCACTGCACCTAACACTACACCTGTCACTGCTTCTGTCACTGCACCTGTCACTGCACCTACACTACACCTGTCACTCTGCACTTCACTGCACTACTCACCTGTCACTGCTTCTGTCACTGCACCTGTCACTGCACCTAACACTACACCTGTCACTGCTTCTGTCACTGCACCTGTCACTGCTCCTGTCATATACACCTGTCATTGCACATCATTGCACCTGTCAGAGTACCTACCACTACACCTGTCACTGCTCCTGTCACTGTGCTTGTCACTGCACCTGCCAAATGCTTCACCTAAACTAGACCAGGACTGAACCAGGACTGAACCAGGACTAAACCAGGACTGAACCAGGACTGAACCAGGACTGAACCAGGACTAAACCAGGACTGAACCAGGACTGAACCAGGACTGAACCAGGACTGAACCAGGACTAACCCAGGTCTTGTGTGGATGTGGTGCAGAGGAGTTAGTTCATACGGACCTCACTCACCTGTGTAGGTCAGGGCACCAGGGCTGATGGTCCCAGAGACCGGTCCAGAGATGGTCCCAGGAACCAGACCCGGGCCAGCCCCCGGCCCGGACCCGGATCCCAAGGCCTGGTCCGGGATCTCGGCCAGACCCAGAGCGCTCAGAGTGTGTTCGGCCGCGTGGACTCGAGCCTCCTCCACCGACGAAGACAATTTAGACGGAGTCACGGTGTGTCTGAAACACAGAGACCAGGACTAGACCGGGACTAGACCAGGACTGGACCAGGACTGGACCAGGACTAGACCAGGACTGGACCAGGACTGGACCAGGACTGGACCAGGACTGGACCAGGACTAACAGGACCAGGACTGACCAGGACTGACCAGGACTGACCAGGACAGGACTGGACCAGGACTATAACAGGACTGGACCAGGACTGGACCAGGACTGGACCAGGACTGGACCAGGACTATAACAGGACTGGACCAGGACTGGACCAGGACTGGACCAGGACTATAACAGGACTGGACCAGGACTGGACCAGGACTGGACCAGGACTGGACCAGGACTGAAGTATGTACATCTTCCCCGTGTGGTTGTGTCTCCTCCTCTTAGTGTGGAGGTTTTGGGCGGAGTGCGTTGCTCACAGGCTGGGGCAGTGCTCAGTGGTGTGTGTGATTGTGGAGGCTGTAGATTGTTTGTGGTTGTGGGTGGAGGTGTAGTTGCAGGTGGAGTGCGTTGCTCACAGGCTGGGGCAGTGCTCGGCCAGCGCGGGGATGGTCACTTTGTAGAGGAACAGTTGTCTTTGGTCTGGAGTCTGAGCCGAGTGAAGTTCAAACACCGGAGAACCCCAACCGTTCTTCTGACACAAGTCCTCGAGAACCTGCAAGAACCAGACCAGGACTCAACCAAGACCACACCAGGACCAGGACCAGACCAGGACTCAACAGGACCAGACCAGGACCAGGACCAAACCAGGACCAGGACTGAACCCGGACCAGACCAGAATTAAACCAAGACTAAATCCAGTCTAAATAGAACCAAACCTGGTCTAGACTAAATCTAAACTGGTCTAAACCTGGTCTAAACTCAGACTAAACCCGGTTTAAACTGGTCTAAACCCGGTCTAAACCCGGTCTAAACCCAGACTAAACCCTGTCTAAACAGGTCTAAAGTCGGTCTAAAGCCGGTCTACAGGACTGACCTGTGTGGGGGTCTTGCCGGTCTTCAGGGGGGTCAGCTCCATGCCCGGGAGGAGGTCGAACAGTTTCTCCTGGTTTTGTTTTGGCTCCATTTTGTAGGCGGGGTTAGATGAGACCCCGCCCCCCACTCTGCCGGTAAGCCCGCCCCCTGCGAGGTAAGCCGCGCCCCCTGTGATGTAAGCCCCGCCCCTGGGCAGCCCGCGCACGCCGGCGGCCCCTACAGGTACACTCATGTAAACGTCTACAGAGAACACGCCAATCATCAGGATCACAGCCAATCAGAGCACAGATCAGACACCGCTGTCACCGGGCCTCAGCCAATCAGAGCGCAGAGCCTCTCAGTCAATCAGAGCACAGATCAGTTACGGCTGTCACCGGGCCTCAGCCAATCACAGCAACTGACATAAACTCACGTTTATGTCAATCCAACGTTTAGGTTCAAACTTTCAAATCAGATCAGACCTGTTCCTCAAACTGTTCCTCAGACTGTTCCTCAGACTGTTCTCCTCAGACTGTTCCTCAGACTGTTCCTCAAACTGTTCTCCTCAGACTGTTCCTCAGACTGTTCCTCAAACTGTTCTCCTCAGACTGTTCCTCAGACTGTTCCTCAGACTGTTCCTCAGACTGTTCCTCAGACTGTTTCTCTGTTCCTCAGACTGTTCCTCAGACTTCCTCAGACTGTTCCTCAGACTGTTCCTCAGACTGTTCCTCAGACTGTTCCTCTGTTCCTCAGACTGTTTCCTCAGACTGTTCCTCAGACTGTTCCTCAGACTGTTCCTCAGACTGTTCCTCAGACTGTTCCTCAGACTGTTCTCCTCAGACTGTTCCTCAGACTGTTCCTCAGATTGTTCCTCAGACTGTTCCTCAGACTGTTCCTCAGACTGTTCCTCAGACTGTTTCCTCAGACTGTTCTCTCTCCTCAGACTGTTCCTCAGACTGTTCTCCTCAGACTGTTCCTCAGACTGTTCTCAGATTGTTCCTCAGACTGTTCCTCAGACTGTTCCTCAGACTCCTCAGACTGTTCCTCAGACTGTTCTCCTCAGACTGTTCCTCAGACTGTTCCTCAAACTGTTCCTCAGATTGTTCCTCAGACTGTTCCTCAGACTGTTCCTCAGACTTTTCCTCAGACTGTTCCTCAGACTGTTCTCCTCAGACTGTTCTCCTCAGACTGTTCCTCAGACTGTTCCTCAGACTGTTCCTCAGACTGTTCAGACTGTTCCTCAGACTGTTCCTCAGACTGTTCCTCAGATCAGACTGTTCCTCAGACTGTTCCTCAGACTGTTTCCTCAGACTGTTCTCCTCAGACTGTTCCTCAGACTGTTCCTCAGACTGTTCCTCAGACTGTTCCTCAGACTGTTCCTCAGACTGTTCCTCAGACTGTTCTCCTCAGACTGTTCCTCAGACTGTTCCTCAGATTGTTCCTCAGACTGTTCCTCAGACTGTTCCTCAGACTGTTCCTCAGACTGTTCCTCAGACTGTTCTCCTCAGACTGTTCCTCAGACTGTTCCTCAGACTGTTCCTCAGACTGTTCCTCAGACTGTTCCTCAGACTGTTCTCCTCAGACTGTTCCTCAGACTGTTCTCCTCAGACTGTTCCTCAGACTGTTCCTCAAACTGTTCCTCAGATTGTTCCTCAGACTGTTCCTCAGACTGTTCCTCAGACTGTTCCTCAAACTGTTCCTCAGACTGTTCCTCAGACTGTTCTCCTCAGACTGTTCCTCAGACTGTTCCTCAGACTGTTCTCCTCAAACTGTTCCTCAAACTGTTCCTCAGACTGTTCCTCAAACTGTTCCTCAAACTGTTCCTCAGACTGTTCCTCAGACTGTTCTCCTCAAACTGTTCCTCAGACTGTTCCTCAGACTGTTCTCCTCAGACTGTTCCTCAGACTGTTCCTCAAACTGTTCTCCTCAGACTGTTCCTCAGACTGTTCCTCAGACTGTTCTCCTCAGACTGTTCCTCAGACTGTTCCTCAGACTGTTCCTCAGACTGTTCCTCAGACTGTTCTCCTCAGATGTATCTCCATGTTCTAGTCATTTCTTCTCTCTGAATTTTATTTGGACTGATTCATGTTTGAGGAAGTTTTAATCCCTGATTTTTCAGACTCCATTTTGTGGCTCTCGCTTCACCAGGAAACTGTGACACTGTTGTCATTTTGGTCCAAATGTAAAAAACACTCTGCTCTAGTGCAGCAGGAGGAGGGACCACAGCCTGGTCTAGTCCTGGTCTAGTCCTGGTCTAGTCCTGGTCTAGTCCTGGTCTAGTCCTTTGGGTAAAATGCGATTTCAAGTCACAAGTGACAGTGTTCAAACACGACCTCAGTCGTCATCATCACGTCTCTGCTCACAGGACCAGACCAGACCAGGACCAGACCAGGACCAGACCAGGACTAGACTAGGTCTACATCAGGACTCTCCTCTCACAGATTCATGGTTTGAGTCCCGGTGACAGAGGCTCAGGACAAACACCAGGTTTATATGACACAAAAAGAACTCCATCAACAACAAGTACTACAAGTACTACAAGTACTGAAGTAAACATGAAGTACTGCAGTTGTACGTCTCTCTCTCCAAACTTCATCTTATGGTTTAAAATCTTTTCACCTGAAACACTCAGATCAGGACCAGGACTAAAGCTTCAGTGTTTTTCTCCAGACAGAAGAGGCTGAGTCAGTTTTAGTTAAACCTGTTCAGATGTTTTGCTGGGAGGTTCTGGAGTTGTTGATGGAGTCCTGTGTTTTTGTTTTTTGTGATTGTGTATTTCATTTTCACAATTTTAGATTGAGGTTCTGATTCTGGTTCTAGACCCGGACTAGACCGGGTTTCAGACTCACCTCGGACCGACGGCGTCCGGACGAGGCCCCGCCCACACATCGGCGTCTTGGGGAGGCGGAGCTGAGCAGGGATGGCGTAGGCCTGAGGAGCGTAGAACACAGGAGCCCCCAGGTACGCCATCGACGGATCGTAGACCTGTGCAAGACCCGGGTCAGACCAAGACCTGGACCTGGACCAACACCTGGACCAGGACCAAGACCAAGACCTGGACCTGGACCAAGACCAACACCAGGACATGGACCTGGACCTGGATGTGGTTGCAGTACCTGTCCCAGAGCGTAGGGGGCGTAGTCCGGCTGCAGTGCGGCTCCTCGTCCTCCCGTCCCTCTGGTGTATCTCACATAACTGTCCTTGTCCACAGGTTTGGCCAAAGTCACTTCGATCGGAGAACCTTCGATCACCTGGAACACAGAGGGACGAGTCTAACACCTGAGAGTGGGAGGAGTCTAACACCTGAGAGTGGGAGGAGTCTAACACCTGAGAGTGGGAGGAGACTAACACCTGATAGTGGGAGGAGACTAACACCTGAGAGTGGGAGGAGACTAACACCTGAGAGTGGGAGGAGATTAACACCTGAGAGTGGGAGGAGTCTAACACCTGAGAGTGGGAGGAGTCTAACACCTGAGAGTGGGAGGAGTCTAACACCTGAGAGTGGGAGGAGACTAACACCTGAGAGTGGGAGGAGACTAACACCTGAGAGTGGGAGGAGTCTAACACCTGAGAGTGGGAGGAGACTAACACCTGAGAGTGGGAGGAGTCTAACACCTGAGAGTGGGAGGAGTCTAACACCTGAGAGTGGGAGGAGACTAACACCTGAGAGTGGGAGGAGTCTAACACCTGAGAGTGGGAGGAGTCAGGTGTGAAGTGCCCATATAGTGGGTGGGGGTGGGGGGCACAGGGGGAGAGGCTTGTCCAGGTCAGGATTCGCAGTGCCGAGGCTCAGGTCGCCCTGAAGTGTTTGAGCTCAGTCAGCCGAGACTTCAGATCCTCAGGATGGATCACCCCCACGAGAGGAACTTTAACCTCCTCAGGGACTTCAGGGTGATGGACGAGTCTGAGTCTCCAGCCTCGACTTCCTCCTCAGAAGATGTGGTGGTGGGATTGAGGAGATCCTCAAAGTTTTCCTTCCACCGCAGGACAACGTCCCCAGTCGAGGTCTTCAGTTCTCCCCCCGCTCTGTAAACAGTGTTGGTGAAGAACTGCTTCCTCCTCCTGAGGCGCCGGACACTTTGACAGAATCTCTTTGAGGTGTCCGATAGTCCTCCTCCATGTCCTCCTCCATGTCCTCCTCCATGTCCTCCTCCATGTCTTCCTCCATGTCCTCCTCCATGTCTTCCTCCATGTCCTCCTCCATGTCCTCCATGTCCTCCTCCATGTCCTCCTCCATGTCCTCCATGTCTTCCTCCATGTCCTCCTCCATGTCTTCCTCCATGTCCTCCTCCATGTCCTCCATGTCCTCCTCCATGTCCTCCTCCATGTCCTCCTCCATGTCCTCCTCCATGTCTCCTCCATTCCTCCTCCATGTCCTCCATGTCCTCCTCCATGTCTCCTCCATGTCTCCTCCATGTCCTCCATGTCCTCCATGTCCTCCTCCATGTCTCCTCCATGTCTCCTCCATGTCCTCCATGTCTCCTCCATGTCCTCCTCCATGTCCTCCATGTCCTCCTCCATGTCCTCCATGTCCTCCATGTCCTCCATGTCTTCCTCCATGTCTCCTCCATGTCTCCTCCATGTCTTCCTCCATGTCTCCTCCATGTCTCCTCCATGTCTCCTCCATGTCTCTCTTCCTCCATGTCCTCCTCCATGTTCCTCCATTCCTCCATGTCCTCCTCCATGTCCTCCATGTCTCCATGTCCTCCTCCATGTCCTCCTCCATGTCCATGTCTTCCTCCATGTCTTCCTCCATGTCTTCCTCCATGTCTTCCTCCATGTCTTCCTCCATGTCCTCCTCCATGTCCTCCTCCATGTCCATGTAGTAATTGTCGTATTTATAGAATTTGTAGTAGTATTTGCAGTAGAAGTATTTGGAGTAGTATTGGGAGTACTTGCAGTATTTGTAATAGTAGTAGTAGTAGTAGTAGTAGTAGTAGTATTTGCAGTACCTTCCCGTGCAGTTGTTTCATGGCGTTGAGAGCGTCGTCTCTGTGAGTGAAGTGAACAAAAGCATAATCACGAATTTTCTTCACCCGCTCCACACAACCTGAAACACAAACGCACAAAATCACACACACACACACACAACCTGAAACACAAACGCACAAAATCACACACACACAACCTGAAACACAAACGCACAAAATCACACACACACACACACACAACCTGAAACACAAACGCACAAAATCACACACACACACACACAACCTGAAACACAAACGCACAAAATCACACACACACACACACACACACACAACCTGAAACACAAACGCACAAAATCACACACAAACACACAACCTGAAACACAAACGCACAAAATCACAAACACACACACAACCTGAAACACAAACGCACAAAATCACACACACACACACACACACACACACACAACCTGAAACACAAACGCACAAAATCACACACAAACACACAACCTGAAACACAAACGCACAAAATCACACACACACACACACACACAACCTGAAACACAAACGCACAAAATCACACACAAACACACAACCTGAAACACAAACGCACAAAATCACACACACACACACACACACACAACCTGAAACACAAACGCACAAAATCACACACAAACACACAACCTGAAACACAAACGCACAAAATCACACACACACACACACAACCTGAAACACAAACGCACAAAATCACACACACACACACAACCTGAAACACAAACACACACACACAAATCACACACACATAGTGTTGTTATGTGCATTTGTGTATTGTTGTTGTGTTTCTGTTGTGTGTTGTTGTGTGTTGTTGTGTTGTTGTGTGTTGTTGTGTTGTCGTTGTGTGTTGTTGTGTTGTTGTTGTGTGTTGTTGTGTGTTGTTGTGTTGTTGTCGTTGTGTTGTCGTTGTGTTGTTGTGTTGTTGTGTTGTTGTGTTGTGTGTTGTGTGTTGTGTATTTGTTGTGACCTGGGTTGATGGCGTTGAATTCCTTCTGGATGGTTTCTTCGCTCGTCTGGTTGTGTTGTTGTGTTGTGTGTTGTTGTGTTGTTGTGTTGTCGTTGTGTTGTTGTGTTGTGTGTTGTTGTGTTGTGTGTTGTGTATTTGTTGTGACCTGGGTTGATGGCGTTGAATTCCTTCTGGATGGTTTCTTCGCTCGTCTGGTTGTGTTGTTGTGTTGCTGTTGTGTTGTTGTGTTGCTGTTGTGTGTTGTTGTGTTGTCGTTGTGTTGTTGTGTTGTGTGTTGTGTATTTGTTGTGACCTGGGTTGATGGCGTTGAATTCCTTCTGGATGGTTTCTTCGCTCGTCTGGAGCATCAGGTTTCTCACGTACAGGATTTTCACCGTCGCCATCGTTTCCTCGTCAACCTCCACCTCAGGCTCCGCCCAGTCCACGGCGATGGCGTGACCCCACAGCTGGATCCTTCCTGCGGACCAGAACCAGGACTGAAACAGGACCAGAACCAGGACCAGGACTAGGACCAGGACTAGGACTAAACCAGGACTAAACCAGGATTAAACCAGAACTAAACCAGGACTATAGGAGGTACAGAGTGGGTCTGGTACCTGGCAGTAGTTTCCTTCGGGCCATGGCGGCTGCTCGGTGACTCTGATATTCGACGAAGGCGAAGCCGCGGTTCTTGGTCTTGTCGGCGGCACTCGGGTAAACGATGACATCACTCACGCCCTCTGTGACCTTTGACATTTCGCTCAGGATCTCGTCTCGACGTTTACACTTTGGGATCCCACCCACGAACAGACGACAGTTATCCACGCTCGCACACACGCCCAGGAGACGCCCGGGCCTGAACACAACCAGAACCAGAACCAAGACTCAAGACCAGAACCAAGACTCAAGACCAGAACCAGAACCAGAACCACAGCTGAACCAGGACTGGACCAAGACTGGGCCAGAACTAGACTGGGACTGGACCGGGGTAGTGGAGGAGGTGGGTGGAGGTGGGTGGAGGACACAGGTGGAGGTGGAGGACACAGGTGGAGGACACAGGTGGAGGTGGAGGACACAGGTGGAGGACACAGGTGGAGGTGAAGGACACAGGTGGAGGTGGAGGACACAGGTGGAGGAGGCTCTGACCTGATCTCGTGGTTGTTCAGGTGTTTCATGGCGTTCTTCGCCTCCTGGCGGCTGCTGAACGTCACGAAGGCGTAACCGCGATTGTTCCCGTTAAAGTCCATCATCATCCTCACCTCGTAGATCTGCCCGAACTGAGACCAGGACCAGGACCGAGACCAGGACCGGGACCGAGACCAGGACCGAGACCAGGACCGGGACCGAGACCAGGACCGAGACCAGGACCGAGACCAGGACCGAGACCAAGACCGGGACCAAGAGCAGAGACAAGACCAGAGACCGTTTCAAGTTAGTTGACTGGCTGAGTATCAGTAGTAGTAGCAGTATTAAAAGCAGTAGTCGTAGTAGTAGTCGTAGTAGTAGTCGTAGTACTCGCAGCACTCGTAGTACTTCACCTTCTCACACAGAGGGACCAGCTCATCTTCAAAAAGATCTCGGGGCAATTTTCCCACAAAAATCTCGGAGCCTCGCTCAGGAGGAGGACCGTCCCAGTTTGGAGGAGGCCCCCCGTACCTCCTCTGCCCGTTCTCCTGTACACAAGTACACAAAGTACACACAGTACTGTCAAAAAGTACACACACAGTACACACAGTAAACACTGTAAAAGTGTTGAGAGTTTCTCTGGTTGTTTGTCATTGGAAAATCTGCATAAAACTGTGACCATTTAAAAATACTGCAAATACAAATACTACTACTCACTCCTCCTCACCTGCCAGGGAGCACCTGTCTCTCACCTGCCAGGGAGCACCTGTCTCTCACATGCCAGGGAGCACCTGTCTCTCACATGTCAGTGGAACACCTGTCTCTCACCTGTCAGAGAAGCACCTGTCTCACCTGCCAGAGGGAGCACTTATCTCACCTGTTGGGGGAGCACCTGTCTCACCTGTCGGAGAAGCACCTGTCTCACCTGTTGGGGGAGCACCTGTCTCACCTGTCAGAGGGAGCACTTGTCTCACCTGTTGGGGGAGCACCTGTCTCACCTGTCGGAGAAGCACCTGTCTCACCTGTCGGAGAAGCACCTGTCTCACCTGTCAGAGGGAGCACTTGTCTCACCTGTTGGGGGAGCACCTGTCTCACCTGTTGGGGAGCACCTGTCTCTCACCTGTCGGAGGGCGTAGCCGGTTCGTTGCATCAGGGCCCGTAGCCCCGCCTCCCTCTGCGTCCCTGTCAGCCCGTCTGCTTTCTGATTGGACTCCATTAGAAGTGATTGACAGTTCAGTTTCAATCAGGGAAATTAATGATGCTCTCTGTAATTAAACAAACACGAATATGTAAATGAGATGTAAATATTAAAGCCCGACCGATATGGATTTTGCTGTGGCCGATATGAAACCGATATAATGGGAGTTGGAGCTGCCGATACAATCGCCGATATATTTAGTGTTGTAAAAATTCACTGTAAATCTTGAATTGTTTAAAAAACT